ACTACTAACAGATTTGCCCTACTGGCAGAGGTTGAGGAAAACCAACCAGCCCCAGACACCGCAAAAAAACCCAAGCCCCCTCCAATCTATATTAGGGAGAAAAGCTCATGTGCCCTTGTCAACAAAATTGCATCGTTGATCGGGAACGGTGAACACTTTCATGTTGTTCCTCTTATCCAAGGGAACATCCCTGAAACAAAGGTGCCAACCAAATCTGAAGAGCACTTCCGAACCGTGTCCAAATATCTGGACAATGAACAGAAAAACTATTACACTTACCAGGTGAAAAGCAGTAAAACCTACAAGTGGTAGTAAAGGGAATCGAACCCGATGTTACCTCCGCGGAAATAAAAACCGCACTTAAAAAAAGGGCTTCGCCGCCAAGAATGTTATTAACATTCTAAATAAAGATAAAAAGCCACAACCCCTCAAGGTCAAGCTCGAGCCAGAAAGCAGGTCGCTGAAGAAGAACGAAGTCCACCCAATCTACAACCTGCAATATCTTTTGCATCGGAAAATCACTGTTGAAGAGCCACATAAACGCAACGCTCCTGCACTGCACTAAAAACAAAGACAGTACCCTGAAGAAATGTGGAAACTGCGGAGGCAAACATACGGCAAACTATAGAGGATGTATGGTGTATAAGGAGTTAAAGAGTCAAGCGTCAAGCGATCGCAACGCGCAACAAAAATCCAAAGAATGCATACATTGCGTCAAAAACTGCGCCAGAAGTCTTCTTCACCAAAGCTGCGAGATCCTCATTCACTAAACACCACCAACGTCTTCTCCTATGCCGATGCTCTACGATCTGGAAGGGAAATTCCAATTCAGGCTAACTCTCAAAGCGCTCAACAGACCCCAGGACAGCCACACAGCAAAACGGATACTATGATGCTTACCCTCCAACAAAGTATGATGGAGCTTATGTCATTCATGAAAACGACCATGCAAACGCTTGTTTAAAACCTTGTTAAAACGAGCAGCTGAACATGGTGATACAGCTGCTCCTAGCGCAACAGTCTAAATAATCTATGCAGGCTCTACGAATATCAATGTGGAACGCCAATGGTGTCTCACGGCATAAACTTGAAATGGCACAATTCTTGACCGAAAACCATATTGACATTATGCTACTGGTGGAAACACATCTTACAAGCAAAGACAACTTTCAAATAAGAGGCTACACAATCTACCGCACAGATCATCCAGATGGAAAAGGCCACGGCGAAACTAGAGTTCTAATCGGAGAACGCATTAAGCACCATTTTCACAAAAGGTTTGCGACAAACTTCTTGCAGGCCATATCGATACAAATTCAGTCAAGCAACGAAATCCTTTCAATCGCTGCCGTTTACTGCCTTCCTCGTTTCTCAATTTCGGAAGGACAATTTATGGACTTCTACAATTCACTTGGGGATCGTTTTATAGCCGCAGGAGACTATAACGCCAAACATACGCACTGGGGATCACGTCTAGTGACTCCCAAAGGAAGGCAATTGTACAATGCAATTATAAATGTGAAAAATAAACTGGACTACGTTTCCCCTGGAAGTCCCACATACTGGCCAACAGACTCAAGAAAGCTCCCAGACCGTATTGATTTTGGTGACAAAAAACATACTTCGGAATCTAATAAGTGCCAAAGCAGTCTCGCTCTTATTATCAGACCACTCGCCTGTGCTTCTAACGCTTCAAAGCCTAGAAATAACCGAACACCCCTTCAGCCTGACGACGCCAAAAACGAACTGGCTAAAATACAAAAAGGACGTGAGTGCCCACATAGAACTCGCCCCGAAATTTTACATGGAATCGGACATCGACTACACTACGAGCGCCCTGGAAGAAGTACTCGTTGCGGCAGCTAAAATCTCTACTCCTCATGGGAAAGAAGTAGACCGAAACAAACACTTCAAATCTAATCAGCAAATCGAACAGCTCGTGCGAGAAAAGAGGCACACACGTCGTGATTGTCAAAACAGCAGATCACCAGCTTCAAAACAACGCCTTAAGGAAGCAACCCGATCACTCGACCAGACTCTTCACCAACAGGAAGAAAATGCACAGCTGCTACATCCAGAATCTCTCGCCAACAAGCACAAAGTACGCCCTGTGGAGGTACTTGCGCCCAATTGTGTAGCGACCCAATTGAAACTCTTCGGGATGCTGGGTTCGCAGCGACGAAGACCGAGCTGAAACATTCGCCACACATCTCCAAAGTGTCTTCCAGCCAAACCCAGCCTCAAATTCATTCCTCCTGCCAGTAATTCAGCCAGAGTCCTCCCCTCAGCCAGCTGCACCTTCATTCCGGCCGAACAAAATCGACAAAGTCATAAAAGGGCTAAAAACAAAAAAGGCTCCGGTGGTGACCTATTGACCCCAAAGATGCTGATCAAACTTCCAAAATGCGCTATAGAGGTCGTCTGAAAACTATTTAATGGAATCATTATTCTTGGCTATTTCCCAAAAAAGTGGAAGAAATCCATCATTAGTTTTATGTATGCGCAAGCATATATTAAATTTATTCAATATATTTCAGTAATGAAAATGGAAGTAACAATTAGTACTGGGGGTTATTATAATGACGGGGAATGATGGATGGCCGTGACTGCAGCTCGATCTGCATTACCATTAACACCCAGACGGATCGTAGAACTGGGGCCGACGACGGTCACGGGCCGATCTGCGTGGCGGTCCTTCAGTCCCGTCTTGCTCAGGCAAGCGCTGTGGCCCAGCTGGAGTTGAGGATCCGCCAGCTACTGCGTCAGTTGGGGTTGGAGTGGAACAGCAAGTTGGTGATGCTGTCTGCTCTGGTGTTGGCTGCTGCGAAGAACTGCGCAATCGCAGCTGATCCAGATGTCGCCTGACTGTTCGGTCGTCCTCGAGATACACCGAATAGGAAATCGGTCCCGTTCGCAAACTATAGAGGATGTATGGTGTATAAGGAGTTAAAGAGTCAAGCGTCAAGCGATCGCAACGCGCAACAAAAATCCAAAGAATGCATACATTGCGTCAAAAACTGCGCCAGAAGTCTTCTTCACCAAAGCTGCGAGATCCTCATTCACTAAACACCACCAACGTCTTCTCCTATGCCGATGCTCTACGATCTGGAAGGGAAATTCCAATTCAGGCTAACTCTCAAAGCGCTCAACAGACCCCAGGACAGCCACACAGCAAAACGGATACTATGATGCTTACCCTCCAACAAAGTATGATGGAGCTTATGTCATTCATGAAAACGACCATGCAAACGCTTGTTTAAAACCTTGTTAAAACGAGCAGCTGAACATGGTGATACAGCTGCTCCTAGCGCAACAGTCTAAATAATCTATGCAGGCTCTACGAATATCAATGTGGAACGCCAATGGTGTCTCACGGCATAAACTTGAAATGTCACAATTCTTGACCGAAAACCATATTGACATTATGCTACTGGTGGAAACACATCTTACAAGCAAAGACAACTTTCAAATAAGAGGCTACACAATCTACCGCACAGATCATCCAGATGGAAAAGGCCACGGCGAAACTAGAGTTCTAATCGGAGAACGCATTAAGCACCATTTTCACAAAAGGTTTGCGACAAACTTCTTGCAGGCCATATCGATACAAATTCAGTCAAGCAACGAAATCCTTTCAATCGCTGCCGTTTACTGCCTTCCTCGTTTCTCAATTTCGGAAGGACAATTTATGGACTTCTACAATTCACTTGGGGATCGTTTTATAGCCGCAGGAGACTATAACGCCAAACATACGCACTGGGGATCACGTCTAGTGACTCCCAAAGGAAGGCAATTGTACAATGCAATTATAAATGTGAAAAATAAACTGGACTACGTTTCCCCTGGAAGTCCCACATACTGGCCAACAGACTCAAGAAAGCTCCCAGACCGTATTGATTTTGGTGACAAAAAACATACTTCGGAATCTAATAAGTGCCAAAGCAGTCTCGCTCTTATTATCAGACCACTCGCCTGTGCTTCTAACGCTTCAAAGCCTAGAAATAACCGAACACCCCTTCAGCCTGACGACGCCAAAAACGAACTGGCTAAAATACAAAAAGGACGTGAGTGCCCACATAGAACTCGCCCCGAAATTTTACATGGAATCGGACATCGACTACACTACGAGCGCCCTGGAAGAAGTACTCGTTGCGGCAGCTAAAATCTCTACTCCTCATGGGAAAGAAGTAGACCGAAACAAACACTTCAAATCTAATCAGCAAATCGAACAGCTCGTGCGAGAAAAGAGGCACACACGTCGTGATTGTCAAAACAGCAGATCACCAGCTTCAAAACAACGCCTTAAGGAAGCAACCCGATCACTCGACCAGACTCTTCACCAACAGGAAGAAAATGCACAGCTGCTACATCCAGAATCTCTCGCCAACAAGCACAAAGTACGCCCTGTGGAGGTACTTGCGCCCAATTGTGTAGCGACCCAATTGAAACTCTTCGGGATGCTGGGTTCGCAGCGACGAAGACCGAGCTGAAACATTCGCCACACATCTCCAAAGTGTCTTCCAGCCAAACCCAGCCTCAAATTCATTCCTCCTGCCAGTAATTCAGCCAGAGTCCTCCCCTCAGCCAGCTGCACCTTCATTCCGGCCGAACAAAATCGACAAAGTCATAAAAGGGCTAAAAACAAAAAAGGCTCCGGTGGTGACCTATTGACCCCAAAGATGCTGATCAAACTTCCAAAATGCGCTATAGAGGTCGTCTGAAAACTATTTAATGGAATCATTATTCTTGGCTATTTCCCAAAAAAGTGGAAGAAATCCATCATTAGTTTTATGTATGCGCAAGCATATATTAAATTTATTCAATATATTTCAGTAATGAAAATGGAAGTAACAATTAGTACTGGGGGTTATTATAATGACGGGGAATGATGGATGGCCGTGACTGCAGCTCGATCTGCAGTGGCTCACGATTGAGTGAAGACTGACTTCAGTCGAACGAAGTCGCCGCACGAGAGAATGCAGTCGCATACATAACACCCATTAACACCCAGACGGATCGTAGAACTGGGGCCGACGACGGTCACGGGCCGATCTGCGTGGCGGTCCTTCAGTCCCGTCTTGCTCAGGCAAGCGCTGTGGCCCAGCTGGAGTTGAGGATCCGCCAGCTACTGCGTCAGTTGGGGTTGGAGTGGAACAGCAAGTTGGTGATGCTGTCTGCTCTGGTGTTGGCTGCTGCGAAGAACTGCGCAATCGCAGCTGATCCAGATGTCGCCTGACTGTTCGGTCGTCCTCGAGATACACCGAATAGGAAATCGGTCCCGTTCGCTTCGAGACGTGGCCCTCAAGCCACTTGGGACCGCTTGCATAGTTTCGGACCCAAACAGGGCTGCCTGTAACAAAAGACTTTTTAGTTTGGGCATCGCCGATCTTACCATATGATCTTTCGCCTGGACTTAATTTGTCAAAGAATGTCTGGAGCTCCCTATTGAATAGTAACTCCGCTGGCGAATGCTTCGTAGCGGAATGGGGCGTAGTGTGCTGATCAAACAAGAAATGAGCTAACGCTAAGTTGACATCTGTTTGACGATCTAGTTTCTTCAGGTAACTTTTCGTGGTTTGAACCATTCGTTCAGCCCGTCCGTTGGTTGCAGGGTGGAACGGCGCGGATCGGATATGACGGATCCGATTGTTTTTTATAAACAACATAAACTCCTCGGACGTGAAAGCAGTTCCGTTGTCGGACACGATTTCATCCGGAATGCCATGGGTGGCGAACAGTTGCCGAAGGAAGGTGATTGCAGCTGACGCGGATGTCGATTTTACGAGGCAGACTTCAAGCCACTTGGTAAAAGAGTCGACGACTAACACAAACGTGTTCCCTCGGAAAGGTCCGGCAAAATCAATGTGCAGGCGGGACCATGGTTTCTTGGCAGACTCCCAGTGATGTACGTCCGATCGTGGGGGGGAATTTCTCGTATGTTGGCACGCTAAACATTGACTCACCGCCTTCTCGATATCTGCATCCAGACCGGGCCACCAGACGTAACTGCGGGCTAAAGCCTTCATTCTAACGATTTCGGGATGGTGCGCGTGCAACGCAGAGAGAATTTCCTGCCTGTCCGTCAAGGGAATAACTGTTCGATTACCCCAAAATAATATTCCTTGATTACTGGTCAGTTCGTTTCCCCGAACGAAGAAAGGTTACAGGTCATCATTACGCTGAACTTTAGCACTACTCCATCCCCTTAACACCCAGTTGAGCACCTTTATGAGGCTGCAATCCTTAGACGTGTTGGTAGCTAGGGTGTTCGCGGTGACAGTGGGACCAGTTGCCCATTCGATCATGAAAACTTCTTCCGTTCTAGGCTCATAGTGTATATCCGACGTTGGGCAGCGGCTTTGGAAATCTGCATTACTTATTTTTGTTCCCGGCTGATGAATCAACTTGAATTTATACGCTCTCAAAAAAATTGCTCGACGCATCATCGGGTTGGAAATAATTTGAGGGATTGGCTTTTCTGTCGCAAAAATTCCAAGCAGTGGGCGATGATCTGTAATAAACGTGAACTTTCTTCCATATAAATAGTTATGGAATTTTTTGACACCTGCGACTAAGGATACCGCTTCTCTGTCGATCTGGGAGTAGTTCCTCTCTGCCTTTGACAGCGTGCGAGAGTAAAACGCAATCGGTTTCTGTGTTCCGTCTTCTATTTCGTGGCTAAGCACTGCTCCTAACCCGTATGGTGACGCATCGCATGTTAAGATCAGTGGGCGGTCCGGAGAGTAATGAATTAGGACCGCATCCGATGCGATCAGATTCTTTAGTTCTGCGAATGCTTTTTGGTGCTCTGGACGCCATGTCCATTGTACGTTCTTGTCTAGAAGTTTATGTAATGGCTCCGCAATGGTGGCTTTCTGGGGCAAAATTGAGTGATAAAAATTGGTCAGTCCCAGAAACGCTTGCAACTGTTTTTTCTCTTTTGGTGGTGGCGCCTCATGGATGGCTCTAACTTTGTCGGCTGATGGCCTAATGCCGAGAGCGTCAACTTTGAATCCAAGAAATTCGATGGAAGATGCCCCAAACTGACATTTGTCCTTGCGCAGACGTAATCCTGCCTGGTCCATACGGGCTAGAACTTCGCCTAATCTACTCGCAAGTTCTTCTTCTGATTTACCCATAATTACAATATCGTCAAAATACGGAAGGACGCCCGGTATATTTTGCAGTATTCTTTCAATGCAGCTTTGGAATATTCCTGGGGCAGCTGAAATTCCGAATTGTAGTCTTGTTACCTTAAATGCTCCTTTGTGAGTAGCGATTGTTTGCATCAAAGCTGATTTCTCGTCTACTACCAATTGTTGATACGCTTGGGACAAATATATTTTTGCGAAAATTGAGCCTCCTTCTATCGAAGCTAATAGCGTGTTGATTGCAGGAATTTGATGGCAGTGCGGTTGTACCGCTCTGTTAAGCGTAGACTTATAATCTCCACAAATTCGAATGGAACCATCATTCTTGACTATGGGGACAGTCGGAGTGGCCCACTCAGAGTACTCTACAGGCTCAAGTATTCCTTGGGCACAGAGACGGTCCAATTCTTCTTCATATGGCTTGAGGAGTGCGTAAGGAATTCGACGCGGTGGTAGTCTGACCGGCAGAACTTCCTGGTCCACTTTGAGGGCCACTGGCGGCCCCGTATACCGGCCAAGTTCTGATGAAAACAAATGGTCGAATTTTCTTAGAATTTCCGCGATATCATTTCCGCACTGCACGCCATGAATGCCTTCTATGCGGATTCCGAGGGGTTCAAACCAGTTGCATCCTAGAAGGTTTGACCCGGTGCCGGACGTGACGACCAATGGCAGATTGCAGATACGGCGATTGTTGTAGTGGATTGACGTGTCTGTGATTCCCTTGACCGGAATGGGGTTACGTTGATAGTCGCTTAGCTTTACTTGACTTAGGTGGCACTTGACGAGATCGGGATTACCGTTTGGCCAGATGTATCGATATGAAGACTCCTTCATGATGGTGACGGGCGACCCGGAATCAACTTCGAACTGGCATGATCGACCGTTGATGACCACGGCCACAGATTTCTTGGGGCTGACCACCGGAACTATTTGATGAACGCGTCCGTGCGATGGCCTGTTGTTACGCATATTACTGGGCGTAGGAGATGAAAATTTTGTTGACCCAGCTTGACTGTTACTGCGGCATACCCTACGTATGTGGCCAGTTCGACCACAGGAATGACAAGTGGCGTTGCGGAACGGGCACTTCTTACGGACGTGCCGACCCCCACAACCCGCACAACTCGAACTTATTCCGTGGATGGACTCGGTGCTCGAAGACTCGAGGCGTCGGATATTGTCGCCTCGAATCGACAACGCACTCGCAGCGGCTGCTTCACTAGTGACGGCTCGTTCCATGGCCCGCTGCACCGTCAATTCTGGGTCGGCTAGTAGGCTTCGCTGAAGACCTTCGTCGCGCATGCCACATACAAATCGGTCCCGCAACATGCGATCCAGCATCTGTCTGAAATTGCACCCTACCGCCAGGTTTCTTAATGTGGCCATGTAGTTACCGACGGACTCGTCGGGTTGCTGATCACGCATGTGGAAATGGTAGAATGCAGCAATCTCCGATTGGCGTGGTGCCAAGTGACTGGTTAATATATCATAGACTTCTGTTAATTCCAAATCACTGACTTGCCTGGGTGATGCTAAAGACACTAGTAACTCATAAAGGGGTGCGCCCGCTAGAGTAAGAAACGCCGCCTTCTTCCGGTTCTGGTCCACGCCATTCGCTAAAAGGTACAGCTCGAAGCGATCTCGATACGCCTTCCATTTCCCAGGGGTTAGCAAGTCGAAAGGTTCCAGAGTTCCAACTCCCGCCATGGCGACTCCGCAAGTTTGGAAAACCGCTTTCCGCTTATCCGTACTGGCCGTAGTATTTGGCTCAACTGTACAGCCGCTCTCAGCGAGACTCCCTCGTGGAGTTGATTGATTATCACTTATTTCTTGTTTTACCTCTTCGCCGGAGCTTTTCTCAGCTTGACCGACAGTTCGGCGCTTATCCATGTGCTTGCTTCAAGAATAATACGACTACCGCAATTGGACGTACGGTAAATACTCGTCACCGTCAATTCCGTCTCTCTTTCTCCCTGTACGATAATTGTTGAATTTAATTAGCTTACGCTCAGGGATTAGAATCCCATCCTCGTCGCCAATTTTATGTATGCGCAAGCATATATTAAATTTATTCAATATATTTCAGTAATGAAAATGGAAGTAACAATTAGTACTGGGGGTTATTATAATCGTTCAGTCGAACGAGATCGCCGCACGAGAGAATGCAGTCGCAAACATAACAATTATAATGATCCCCTCATCATACAGACCAATAAGCCTTCTATCTTGTTTGTCTAAATTGTTTGAAAAATGCTTGTTAACTCGCATAAAACCACATATGGAAGCTTGCAATATTATCACGGCACACCAATTTGGCTTCCGAAGAAACCACGGAACCATCGAACAAGTGAACAACTTAACTTCCGAAATACGCTCAGCCTTCGAACAGCGAGAATACTGCAGCGCTATTTTCCTCGACGTATCTCAAGCTTTTGACCGAGTTTGGCTCATCGGACTCATGCACAAAATTAAAACGCCCACAAGCTACTGGAATCATACCTCTACACTAGGGTATTCTCAGAGAGATGCAACGCAGCTACTTCGGACGACTACACCATCGAAGCTGGAGTTCCACACTTCCCTCTCTTTCTTTAAAGCGAACGGTCGTGTTTTTTTTGTGCGCACTGCGTTTATGACAAATATTGGTAAACCGGTGTTTACATACTTTGTGAATTAAAACTTGTGAATTTTAACAATCTTAAAGCCTAAACCGTATCGCTTCGCGAGTGCTGTGGTATATTTGGAGTCGAATTAATAATTTGTCTAAATTCTATTCCAAGCATAGTTCAGCTCTGCTTCTTTCCCGGCTTATCTCTATTTCTGCATTTCTCTTTTGCACTATTCAAAGCTCTATTCAAGGTATAGTGTTTTTTCACTTTTTAAACATAAATTTTTGTTTTATTAAATAAAAAAAAAATAAATAAATAAATAAAATGGAATTTAAACTGGTCTGTGCCATTAAGTCTTGTAACAAGACAATTTCCTCATCCCAGCCTGCCATCCATTGCTGGCTATGTGAGAACGTCGTACATGCCAAGTGTGCCGGTTTCACTGCATCAGTTTCGGATGCCATTTCCCGTAGGTCTGGGATACATTATTGTTGCGAAAATTGTCGTGCTGTGCAAGGCGAAATGAGGTCGTTCATGAGACAGACCAAAAATGGATTTAAAGAGCTGATCACTGGTTTTCGTATAATCAATGACCAGCTCTGTGCGCTTGACACTCAATTTAGTGGCCTTCAGCTGCTAAATGAGTCCCCTAAGCGTAAGAAATCCGCTGTTTCTGATCCTCCTCAGCCTGCTCAGCCGACATTAATGCAGCCGCTTATATCTCTGGCCACCCCAAGGGCCTTAACTGAGAAAAATTCGTCAGAATTTCTCAGGGATAATGAGCAATTGTCCGATATGTCCGCCATGGCATCCCTTCAAGTGATGCCACAGGTCCTAGGGAACGAAACCCCCATTAGGGTCACCCAAAAGGGTATTCCACAGTCCGGACCACCGGCACCGACTGATGCTGCAGTTCTTGTACCTGCGACACCAAAACCCTTACAGGTGAATCCTCCATCGAAACATATATTTGTTTCTCGGCTTGCCCCTGATACTTCAGAGATTGATATCTCGGCTTATATCAAAGCCAAAACAAAAGCCGATATAAAGGTGGAGGACATAACTAAATTTAAATATAATTATACAAGGCGCACGTCTTCTTTCAAGATTCGTGTGCCCGCACTGATATTTAAGACGATTTGTTCTCCCAGTTTTTGGCCAGAGAATCTTTTCGTCCAAGAACATCAGCCTAGTTTCGTGAAAAAAAGTTAATAAACCAGTCTCACTCCCGACTTCCCAATATCGGAACCACTGACCAACCCTCCACCTCTTCTTTGGCCACTAACCCAAAAAACTAGTTTCCTCACTAACTCTTACCTATCAGAATACTAGGGGGCTACGTAGCAAACTCCCCAAGCTATATCCCCCAAGCTATATATATTTTCCCAAGTAAGTACACCACTTTTAGACGGGATCGATCTCAGCGAAGAGGAGGTGGAGTCCTCATTTCGGTAGACTCTATTTTTGCTTCTGAAGAGGTGAAATCCCAAGAGTTTGGTGACATAGAATTTATTTGCGTTAAAATCACTATGTCAGTGAAAGCTTTATACATTACATGTTCATATATACCTCCTATGTCTGAACCGCCCACATATTGGCAGCATTTGTCCGCTATTCGATACGTCTCTAATCTTATGACGGATCGTGATTAACTCGTAGCGGTGGGCGACTTTAATATCCCAGAATTAAAGTGGTCCAACGTCGATAACTCACCATCTTTGTCACTTATAACTTACCATGACTTCACCGCGGGCATGTTTGACATGTCCCTAGGTCAGATCAATCATGTTAAAAATTCGCTAGGTAGGCTTTTAGACTTATGTTTTGTATCTGATCCTGATTGTACTGCTCTCTCCAGAGCTTTTCCCCTTTCAACCACAGAGGATCCATATCACCCCACGCTGGAGGTCTCAATCGAAACCACTCCTGGTATCGATCAGATGTCTCCGAGCGTGGTAAATAAGATTCGCTGTTTCCGTAAAGCTGATTTTCAGAAACTTAATAGCCTTATCGATACATTTGACTGGTCTGATATTCTGGCGTGCACGTATCTTAATGTCACTTTAGAAAAATTTTATTGTACTTTAAATACATTTTTTGACTCATGTGTGCCTTGGAACAGGAACAAATTCTCCGTGGTTTACAAGGTGCCTCACTAACCAAAAAAATAAAAAATATAAGCTTTTACTTAAATATAAAAAAACCTGCAGTAGTGTTGATTTCTCAAGATACCTACTAGCTCGGTCGAATTTTACCGTGCATAACGCTGAATGTTATAGGAATTATATTGACCGCTGCTGGATACAATTTACTCAGGATCCAAAGCAGTTTTATAATTTTGTAAACACTAAGCGTATACACGTATCTTTTTCACCCCTGCTTACGTTTGAAAATTCTTCTGCGACTTCGGATCAGGCCATTGCCGATCTATTCGCAGAATTTTTTCAAACAACTTATTCTCCTCCTAAATTGACTGATCAGCCTTACGCATATAACATTCAAGCAGCAAATCTTATTTTCTGTCCGTCTTTTTCTGAGAACAACTTATTATCTGGTCTTTTAAGGGTCAAACCCATTTATTCGCCAGGCCCCGATGGAGTACCAAGCTGTGTGCTAAAATACTGCGCCAGGGCTCTGTGCAAACCTCTTCTAAGACTTTTCAACTTATCTTTGGAAACCTCGATTTTTCCCCTTAAGTGGAAGGAATCATTTATAATTCCCCTACATAAAAAGGGGAAAAAGTCCGAGGCTGCCAACTACAGAGGCATCTCTAAGTTGTCGGCAACTCCAAAGTTATTTGAAAATTTAATTACCCCTCACTCACTTGCAACACCTTTGCTCTTCGATTATCACTCCTTGTCAACATGGCTTTATTAAGCGTCGCTCCATCACCACAAATTTAATGGAGATGACATCCTTTGTCATAGATGGCTTTTGTAAGGGATATCAAACCGATGTAATTTACACAGACTTCGGCAAAGCATTTGATTCAGTTAATTACTCACTCTAGTTGAGTAAACTGAATATGCTGGGTTTTCCTATAGACCTCTTAACGTGGATCTCCAGCTATTTAGATGGAAGGACACAAAGAGTCTTATTTAAAAACATACAGCCCCGTCTGGTCCGTGCTACATCTGGCATCCCTCAAGGAAGTCATCTTGGCCCGCTATTATTCACGATTTTTATTAATGACTTGCCCCCTGCTTTAACGAACTCTCTAGTACTCATGTATGCAGATGATGTAAAGCTTTGTCTTCAGTACAAATCCATCTCTGCCCAATGCAGTCTTCAATCTGACCTTGATAACTTTCATAAATGGTGTTTAGCTAATGATCTAATACTTAATGGATCAAAATGCAAGCATATGTCTTTTTATCGTTCTTGCCCTCTGCAAGCTACGTATTCTACGTATCTACGTATGTAGTTAGCCAGCATTTACTAAAACGCTTAAAATTTAACATTCCTAATAGAAGGACTCGAAACTTTAGTCCTCTGTTCCTTAGCCGTTGTAGTTCGACATATGCACTGCATGATCCTTTTAGGGTATTATGTTCGAACTACAATGGTCTCTACTCTATAACATCTCTTTCCTGTCCCTCAAATTTAAAATATAGAATTTTAAATTTTCTTACTAACTCCTCCTAGCTTAATAATTGAGAAATAGCTTAATATTTACTAACAAATCGTTTCTTGAGCGCCCCTCGGTCGTCTGGGCCTCTAAGCTTTATGATGAATACAGGAATGCTAGCTGATGCTCTTATTGATGCACAAGCCATTTCCAAATTCTGAAAGACCGGTAAAACAAAAAGGAAGCGCACTCGGCCCGTGTCTATATGTTTTGTATACTGCGTATATTCCTACGAGCGCACAACTAATAACGTCAACGTTCGCCGCCGATACCTCTATCCTTAGTCGCTCCAGATTCCTAACGCAGGCAACAACCCAACTGGATAATCATCTTATAATAGTGGAAAGGTGACTGTCCGACTGGCGCATTAAAATAAACGAACAAGAGTGTAAAAATATAACGTTTACTCTTAATAGACAAACATGCCCTCCGCTTTTACTTAACGGTATGCAGATCCCTCAAGCTAACGA